GTTTAACGAAACTCCTCCCTCTCCAGGTGGCAGTTCTCGTGGTCAGTCTGGCGGCCTCGGAAGAGGTCATGGCCTCGTCGCATGGCTCGGCGCAGCCCTCGCCCGTCCAGCCCCATGCGCACTCACACAGGGCACAGGACGCCGCCGCAGCTCCGCCCGCGCACCGAAAGGAGAAGGTGCGGCACGCGCACCGCTTGCGGGTGAGTCCGGCCGGGCAAGGCTCCTTGTCGGGAAGAATCGGGGTTTGTTCTGTTCCTTTACGAATTGAAAACGAATCTTGAATTGGACTTTTGTTTCTACGTTTAAGCTTCATAAAACTGTCCGATACACGCTTTGATAACATTTTCATTTTGAGGGTTTCTGCTTGTAAAGGAATCAATACATCGAGACAATAATTACCTCTTTTACGTCCTCACCTCGTTGGCAGCGGACTTTGATTTATTGCAAATGTTACGCCACCATTCAATTAAACTAGTCAATGGACCAACAGGGTCGCCATCAAAGTGTCAAACATAGAGCCATTTAGTATTAAATATTGCGCGACTACATAAAATATGGTTCAGAATCATGCCCGATGCTCATTGATTCTCCGATTCTGTTATCGGTTCGCTGGGGGAATACATTGCCGGGGAAATATGGAGTTTCGTATGCATTTATGTATAACCAACACGCATAGAATAGTTGAATAATCGTTGGTGAAGCTGTTGGCCTCCCTGGCCCGCTCTGGCCGAGTGACCCAAGCGGAGAGCGGTTTGATTTCCTGTCATGTGTTGTATGAATAAGTAATTTCGCGAATGCTCTGGACCTGTATTCGAGATCTGGCAGTCCTATTGGGAATGCGTTTGATAAGTATTTCGGAATACCGTGGTGTAATTTGGATTTATTTTTTTTACATTGTATATTAACTAATGAACTAATTTCAAATAAATTCTGTTTTACATTTTTAGGATATACATGACAGATATCACTTACAACGAAGCACATGGATTAACCGCCGTCTTCGCTTTACTCTTCCAACAGGAACGTTTCCACAGCAAGAGGAAGCTCCATCGCGTCCACTTCCTCGACTACCACCAGGACACGCCCCTGCACATATACGAGAAGCCCCAACGCGACTCCGTGAGGGCGTTCGACCAGGCCTACTTCTGGTCCTACTCAGGGATCGGGACGCCGAGCGACCTGTGGCAGCAGGCCATCAGGGTCCTGCCGGGCGAGAGCAAGGACGCGAAACCGAAGCCCATGGCGATGCCGGTCACGGAAAACCTGAAGCGGGATCCGGACCCTGTCGCGTATTACGGCCTCCCGAAGGAGCTCATGCCCATCCACCCGGGAGGAGGATCCAGGTTCGAGGACCTGGAGAAGGAGCGTCTGGAAAGAGCGAAATTGGCTCACACCAAAGACGACGGAGACGACACAGAAAACGGTGCTGGCCACGACGCGGAGGGACTCTACAGTTCCGCCGCCGCGCCCTTCCTCTCGCTCCCCACCGTCATCGCCGCCTGCTGCGTTAGGCTCATTCTATAGATCCCGTTTACCAGGCCATTTTATTATTCCTGAAAAGATGTCTAATGTTATTGATTTTTGAAGCCTTTCGCGGTCTCGCAAGTTAATGGATGAATATTTATTTTATCCTGATGAATACGATAAACTTTTTAATAGGTGTTAAGCAGAATAGATTTAGTGCTATGAATATATTGTTGTGCCACGACACATAGTGATATTGTATGTGTGTGTATGAGGATGTATGCGCGCGTGCACATACATGTACACTTGCTTACATTTAAACGTGTGTTTGTGTGTGTGTGTGTGTGTGTGTGTGTGTGTGTGTGTGTGTGTGTGTGTGTGTGTGTGTGCGTGCGTGCGTGCGTGCGTGCGTGCGTGTGTGTGTGTGTTTGTGTGTGTGTGTATGTTCGTTTGTGTGTACGTATGCTTATGGAGAGAGAATATAACAAAGAATGAATATAAAACACCATTTCCATTATGTGTATCTTCATTACGATCTTGGGGGTCCTCAGTTTAATCCCAATGTGTCATATTTTGTGGATCATTCTGTGCATATTATTTTTGTAAATGCAGTTGTTTTGGGGTTTTGTTTTTGTTCTGCATAAACATGACTATTTCTTTGCTATCATAAAATATGAATTTTGCTTCCAGAAAATAAAGCAAATTTGTGCATAAGTATTGTGCGTGAGGAAATATGTAAACATTGTTGTTTAGTCAGTAGTGTGTAAGCATGAACAGAAAACGTTAATAAAATGTCCATCCATCGAGTTTGAAAATAACAGAGGCATGAAAATATCATAGTAAATAAAAAATATAAATGAAAAGAAGAAATGTTATAAAGATGAAAAGTAAGTGTATTTCCCTGCCACACCCTGTTGTTTTTTCTTGGGCACAGTGTGATTCAGAATGTTAATTGAACATAGTTTGTACTATTTAAGTTTATTTGCTCGATGATAGGTTTATATACTGCACGCACTTACGCACACAGACATTCTCT